AAGAGGTTGATTTAGCAATTTGTTTGCCAAAAGTGTTTATTAGGCGATTGTCGCCAAAATGATTGATTTAAGGCCTTTGGCCAAGAATTGGTTGATTTAGGCAATTAGTTCGCCAAAAATATTGATTAGACGATTGTCGCCAAAATGATTGATTTAAGGCCTTTGGCCAAAAATTGGTTGATTTAGGCAATTAGTTTGCCAAAAATGTTGATTAGGCGATTATGTGGTTGATTTAATTGTAGGCAATTTGTTGCCAAAACGTGATTGATTAAGGCTTTTTAGCCACAATTATTGATTAATTGACTTAAGCCGGACGGTCAATTTGTTCGAAATAAAGGCAATTTCACCATAGTTATTGGTTAACTAGGCTTTTTAGCCAATATTGTCGGATTTAAGCTTATCACCGCGATTATTGATTAGTCGGGCGTTTAGCCTAAATTTGTTTAATTGAGGCAGTTTATTTGTCAAATTCATGATGTGAATGCATTTATGCAGTTATAGAATTTAGGAGTAGAAGAGAAATATGCATGAAGTGCTAAAACTAAATAGACAGGGTTTAATTATTACCTGGGTCAGTCGTCGGCCACTTCCTAGCTCCAGATTAAGCTCCTCGTTTGGGGAATATTAATTAAAATTGATTTAATTTAAGTGACCAAGTATCACAACAAGAAAGCAATAAAAAATAAATTAAAAATGCAATGCAGAAAAAGCAGTAAAAGAAATCGCAAAGGAGCATAGGGGAGAGGAGCGTCCGTCAACACCTGAGTGGAAGTAAAAACGGAGCCCCTTGAGGGCGGGCATGCCCGCCCCAGTGGGGGTGGGCGTGCTGCCCCTTGAGGGCGGGCATGCCCGCCCCAGTGGGGGTGGGCGTGCTGCCCCTGCATGCCCGCCCTTGAGGGTGGGCGTGCCCGCCCTTGAGGGTGGGGGGCGGGCATGCCTGCCCCATGGGGGTGGCCGTGCCCTCCCTGAGGGCGGGCATGCCTACCCCATGGGGGTGGGCGTGCCCACCCCTGAGGGCGGGCATATCGACCCGTGTGCCTTTTTTCTTGTTCCGGAGGCTTTTATATTTCGGGACCAGTTCTGCGATCCTCACAATTTTCCGGACATTTCAAGTACCATATTGGCATAGTTCCGGTGAACTTCCCGAATGGCTTCCGGCCTGGCCGAACTGTTTGCAGTCTGGGAAAACAGGCTTTTTGAGCCTAAAAAAAAATTAGGTATTCATAGGCGACTGCAGCCGCTGTCGCCGCCCTTAAGGGCGACCACCACTGCCGCGACCGGGAAAACTGGCCTTTTTTTTAGCCTCAAAATTTGAGTATTCACAGATAGTGAATTGAAACTCTCAAAGAGGATCTTGAGGAGAGAACGTAGGCTTGAGAGAACTGAACCTCCTTCTATCCCTCCTTCTATACAGCTATGAACTTCGGATGCTCCAACACCCACTTCACCTGTCCCTCCACTCAGTAAATATTTATAAGTTTAATGTTGTCCTTTATATTTTGTATAAATTATTATACATATTACTTATATGCTAAAATATCATTATCTTTAGCTTCTATGTCTTTTTTTTTTTTTGTGAACCTTTATAGTAGTTGAGGGACACAATCATCCTACATTGAAGATAGTTAATAGACGGTATGTAAATACAAACAGTTAGCTTTATAAGTTCAGTTGCGCAGTGATAAATTCCAAGATTGATTAATAATTTATAACACCAAAAATAATAACGGAAAAGGCAACTAAAATAATACTAACACAAAACACCAGATAATATTGTATTAATAAGAAGCAAACTTTCACAAAGCTTAAAGAATGAATTACTTACTTGCTTCTTGGGCTTGGTTTTTGCTTGGTGTATACAAATGAGGTGAGGGGTGGTATTTATAGGCATTTCCACCTCCTCAATGGATGGCTATGATTTACTTACAAAAATATACGGTGGAGATTACATGGAGCATTCTAGAGTAGGTGAGATATTTTCTTAAAATATCTAGTGGGTGGGAGTATTCTAGAATGTCCTATGTATTTATACAACATGTGGGTTTGGGGCATACATCTTTGGGCTTGGGGTTTCCACCTTTGGGCTTGAAGCTTGCCAAGTATTTAACTTATTGTGGTAGCCCATTTTGGTGGTTGTCTTTTTTTGGTGGTTGTCTTTTCTAAATTAATTACGTGATATTTTAATACTCTATACTCTCCCTCAACGATTAATTTCTCTTTCTTCATCATCCCCAACTGTTGGGGAAAATCTTCATATTTATTTGCGTTTAAACTTTTTGTAAAGATATCGGCTGACTAATCCTCCGTCTTGATATATTTCATTTTAATCTCTCCTTAAATCTTCATATTTATTTGCGTTTAAACTTTGTTCTCGCATGAAATACTGGATTCTCAGCCATTTGTATAGCCGAATGACTATCACAATTTAACGAAATCGGATAGTCGATGGATTGATGCAGATCGTTCATAAGTTGTGACAACCAAACACTTTCCTGAGCTGCTGTTGCTACTGCCCGATACTCAGCTTCTGTTGTGGAATGTGACATTGTAGGTTGTCTCTTGCTGCACCAAGAGATTACTCCTGAACCAAGACTCCAAGACTAATGTCACAGCCTGTTGTCGAGCGCCGAGTGTCGTGATCTCCTGCAGTTTGGCTCAAGGGTCAATTTCAATTTCTAATCTTGGATTTTGATGATTAATACAAAACAAATAAATTTAAAATTATGTTATTTGTGCTAATTTTATTTTATGTAGAATTTCTTTGGAAAGAATTCATACAAGGCAAGTCTTACTTTGAGTGTGAAGATTTCGAAGATCCCAGTAACTAGGTATTTAGGATATTTTTGTAGGATAGAGAGAAAATCCATACATGAGCACAAAAATCTATTTCTCTCTCAAAAATATTTTTTGGAAAATTAGTTTTCTTCAAATAATTTATTTTCTAAAATATTCCTTTAAATCCTTTAAATCGAAAAGTTTTGTTTTAATTACCTAAAACTAAAGAGATTTTATCTCTAAACAATTTTGGTAATAAATCATACATTATCTTTTTCGGAAATTTCTTTGAAAATCTAAAAGCACTTCAATTTATTCTCTTACCTTAAAAACGAAGGAAGAATCTTTTCATTTTTAGTAAGAACATCTTTCGTAAAAATATTTTCCAAAATAAAATGCTGCAGAAAATCTTTTTGTTTAAAGAAAGTAAAATCGTCTTTTATTCTCTTATCAAAAAGAATAAAATAAATTTTTGGTAAGTAAGATTTTCGTATCTTCTAAATAAGGAAAGCAAATATTCTGATTTCAAAATAAAATATCTTCTTTCCAAAAGTAAGAGACTCGAAGCTCTCTATATAAAGGAAGAATAGAATATGAATTAGAATCTCCTCACAATGTTCTAATTTCAGATATAGAAAGTTTGTGCAAAGTGCAGCTCTTATCTCTCAAAACTTACTCTCTACCCCCATTTTCTTTTTCATCACTCACTTATACGTTTCAATATTTAAAGTGAAAAGAATTTTTACAATTACTTTTGAAAAACAAGTTCTGTGTTCTAAATCGATCTTCTAATCTGATAAAATTGTTTTTTTCCTGGTGCTTATTTGTGGCGTTTCTTTTTTGTCTAATTTAGATTGTGTAATCTTATATAAAAGACAGGCCTCTTATTTGTTTAAACTTTTGTGTGTAATAGCTTAAGGTTAGAAGCTATTTAAATAGAGGTTACAAGCGACCTTCTCCATGTGTGGGATAGTAATGGTCTTGATACGAGTTTTCTATACTCTGCCAAAAACAGAAAGGTTTGAAGGTTAACTAGAACCTTTGGAAAATCTGAGTGGGACTAAAAGGGTAGATCTAGGTTTTTGATCCTATTGCCTTTTGTACTGTTGGTTTGTCTCTTACCCTTTAAAATAGATAACTTAAGTTGAGGTATTCTGCAAGCGTCTTGGGGAGTGGATGTAGGCGAGTTAGTGCCGAACCATTATAATTCTCGGTGTTGATCTCTTTATTTCTGAAGTTTGCTTGACACTGTCTCTATAGCACTTTTGTTTAATTTTTAGAAACGCTAAAATTGTTAATTATTCAGATGTTCTAAAACGGTAATAAGTCTTAACTATTCTGAACATCAGAACTCTGGTATTCTAATAAAGTGAATATACCATGTTCTAACTGTTGCTCTATTTACAGTATATTTCATTGATTGGGTTTCTAATTAATGTTCTAAACTTTATGAGGATGTTCTAATCCTGATAGCTTTCCATCATAAAGTCTTTCTAATATTTGATTAAGGCTCTGTGAAGAGCTCTGTGAAGAAGTTCTGAATTTAATAATTGTCCCTTCACATATGCTTATGTGATTTTCTCAAAAACTTTTATGAAAGGAGTTCCAATTTTCTATAATTTCCTTCCATAAAAGAAGTTCTGATAGTGTATAAGTCAGTGAGAAGCTGTTCTAATCAATAGCTGCACTTCGCACAGACTTTTCTAATCTTTTTACAATTAGAACATTGTGAGGATATTCTAATCCATATTCCTATTCTCACAAAAGTTCTGTGTGTTTTCCGCTGCACTTAAGAATTCTAATTCTTGTTTAGAATTTCCTAAAATTTATTTCAGTTTTAGAAAAACCAATTCACCCCCCTCTTGGGTTGTGCCATATATATTCGGGACCCACACTGCATAATCAGCATCACAAATATCCTTCCAACTTGATAATTTCACCTCTCTTGTAATAAGAATCCATAATCGATTGTACTTTTGACATATCTCCAAATATTCTTCGAACTACTTCCAAGTGAGGTTTCTTAGGCTTTGCATTTAAATCGCTGACTAACTTCCAACTGCAAAGGAAAATGTCCGCCCGCCGTGTCATAGTGAGATAGATTAGGCCCTTCTCACTAGCTGTCTATACAATAGTAGCATCTTTTTTTTATTCATTAGTTGATTTTTTGTTTTACGAGAATTTTTTTAAAATATTTTATTTTTTGTTGCAATTCCCTTCATAAGTCAACAGCACAACTTGACAATTAGCATCCAATTGAGTAGGACATCGGCTTGCCATTCCATCATTTCCACCCTCTTCAAGCAGAATCTCTTGCATACTTTCTGTTGTCGCGAGTACAAACCTTCCTTGGCTTCTTCTATCTCCAATCCAAGATAATGCCCTGAAGCTTTCCTAGTTTCATCATGAAATGAGTAGCCAAATTCCTCTGGATGAGTTTGGATGAGTTGAATCTCTTCGATGTTGTCGCCAGTGACTATTAAATCATCAACGTATACTAGCACTATAGCTAGTCTTCCTTCCTGATCTTTCATAAACAAGCTGGAGTCTGCTAGTGCCATAACATATCCATTCTTGACAAGGAATTCTGCAATCTTGCCATACCAAGCCCTCGGTGCTTATTCTAGACCATAGAGAGCTTTCCTTAGCTTACACACATAGTTAGGATTTTCAAGACTTCTGAACCCTAGTGGTTGCTCCATGTATATTTCATGATCAACTTCACCATGTAAGAATGTGTTCTTCACTGCCACAAAGGCCATGACTTACTAGCTGCTAAAGCTAGTAATACACGCACAATAGTGATCTTGGCAACTGGACTAAATATCTCATCATAGTCTAAGCCATACTGCTGAGAAAATCCAAAAGCAACCAGTCTTTCTTTGTATTGCTCAATTGATCCATCCGAGCGAGTTTTGATTTTCTAGACCTATTTGCAAGAGATGGGTTTCACATCTCTTGGTTTTGGCACTAATTCCCATGTTTGATTTTGCTCTAAAGTAGCAATTTCTTCTTCCATCGCAGTAGTCCACTCCATCTTCTTTGATGCTTCTTCATAAGTTGTTGGCTCGTTTATTTGTTGGCTCCTTTATCTCTGCTATAGCAGCATTTGCGTATTTTGGATTAGGCCTTCTTTCTCGACCCGATCGCCGAAGTAGAGGATAATCTGGATCTTATTCTTCTTGCCTTGGCTGTTGTTGTTCGTATGCACCTATCTTCCATGGGCTCTTTGATTTCTCTTGAACTTTGAATGGCTTTGCTAGACCTTTCTCTGGGATGAACTCTCCCTCTTCTATCTTCTTTTTAACTTTTTCTTGAATTTCTTTTGAGTCTGGTAGCAGGGTTGCTTAAGATGACCACCAAGATGATGTCTCATCAAAGACCACATTTCATGAAATATGGCACTTGTTAGTTATAGGATCACAACATCTCCAGCCTTTAGGATCACAACATCTCCAGCCTTTTCTTTGCTCATCATAACCAACAAATATGCAGCGAAGTGCCTTTTTGTCAAACTTGCTTCGAAGTTCATCTGGAACGAAGACATAACACACACATCCAAAAACATGAAAATGACTTACAGTTGGTTTAATGTTCCACAGTTTCTGGAATGGGGATGTAAACTCCATTCTTACTTGAGGTAGTCTATTGGTGACGAACACAACTGTCTTTATGCACTCTGCCCAAAATCTAGCCGGCACATTCTTCGTATAGAGCAAACTCCTGCAAATCTCCACTAGGTGTCGATTCTTTCTCTCAGTAACTCCATTATGCTGCGGTGTTCTTGGACATGTGAATTGCCTTCGAATGCCTTGCTCTTGGCAATATTTAGTGAATTCGTCAGACGTGTACTCTCCACCATTGTTGGTGCGAAGGTTGGTGCGAAAGGCCATCTAATTTTATTCCAACTTCCTTCTTTCACTTTTGTTTTGAAAGCTTTTGAATTTTCAAAAACTTCCGACTTCTTCTAACCAATGAAAATCTAACCAAACATATCTCGAAGTAGTCAGTCGATGAAAGTAAAATCATGTAACCTCATATTACTGTTTTGTAGGTTTGCTTGATTTTCCGTCCAAGAACATCTGAATGTATTAATTCCGATGGCACCTTGGCTCTATGTTTGAGCTCTTTCAAAAGGAAGTTGGTGAGCTTTTTCCATACTGGCATCCAGCATATATGTGGGTCCTTCTCGGCATTTTCCAACTGAGGAAGACCTTTAAGCATGGACTTCTTCATCATCACCTTAAGCTTGTGATAACTAACATGTCCCAGATGAGCGTGCCACAAGTCAACTGTCTCTCTCTTCCTTGTTCTGTCAACATAGGCTTCTTGTGCTGACATGACGTAGATTGATTCTACTCGCCGTCCTTCCATGACTAGATCTCTGATTAATTTAAGGTCATGATAAACCTTCACATTATTAGGACCGAACACCACATGATTACCTGCACTTGCTATTTGTGATACAGAGAGCAAGTTTTTCTTCATCCTTGGCACATGGTAAACCATCTGTAACTCCGCACATGGTAAACCATCTGTAACTCCATTCTCTCCTTATTGGAGGGAGAAACAATGGTTGTCTTTCCAATGTGAGCTATTGGTAATCTCGTGTTATTTACTGTGACTACAACACGACCTCCATCATAATCGGATACATCCGATAATTTCTCCTTGTTTCTTGTAATGTGATTAAAACTTCCAGAATTAACTATCCAATCATCATCATAGTTAATTCTATCACTTACAGATATTAATGACGACTCCTGCTTGGGTCCTTTCATCATCATCTCTACTGGCTTCTGTGGCGAATATTCTTCATCCTGAACAAAGAAACTGTGAATATCCCAGTCCTCTTCACTTTGTTGCTCGTTCTGGGTTGATGCTATGTTCCTTCTACTCGTCTGCTTCGACATTCTCGGGCAAAATGTCCTCTTTTGTTTCACTTATAGCAACGATCACTTTCTTGCCAGTCGTCTTTCCTTTGTCCTGGCCTTGCTCCCCCTTGCTGTGTTGGTCTCCACTTTTGCTTTCTCCATCCTTGTTAATTCCTCCTTTCTTTTCCACCATCTACTCTCGCAACGTTTCGAAATCCCCTCTTTTTAGCAAAGAGAGCTTTCTCATCATCCTTCAAATCTACTTTAGACATTTTTTCGTCCAAAGTCGCTTCATTGGACAAGATATTCCCTAACTCGTCTAAGGTTGGTTGTGTAGCCCAACCACGAGTAGCAGTCACAAGACCCTTAAATTCAGGTCTTAGACCATGGACGATGATCCTCCTCATCCTTGTCTCATTGATCTCATTGTCTGGATCTAATTTTGAAATCTCCTCACATAAAGATTTTACTTTAGAAAAGTATTGACTTACAGTGAGGTTATGTTGTGAGATTGAGAACAACTCATTTTCGAGCCGTTGCAGTTTTGCTTCATTCTTCTTCTTGGCTGAAAAGAGACTTGAGGATGTCCCAGCTCCTTTGGTGTTTTAGCCGACTTGAATCCGTCGCATCTGCTCATCTTCTACTGCACCTTCAGCACATACATCGCCTTCCCCGTGCAATTTGTCTCCCACTCTTTCAGAGCTTTCGCAATCCCCACATGGTGGTGTAGTATTATCTCCTCCGACGATATCCCATAAGTCTTGACCTATGAGATAATATCTGATACGGGTACTCCAGTTCCCGTAATTGTTGTTATTTAGCTTCTTGATGCTATTCGCGACTCCAGAAAAATCCGCCATAAGGTACTGGTGTTCCTGACACTAACCAATGCACAACGGTCCTTGACCAATCAAGATCACAATCCTTGCTACCAATCACGATCACAATCCTTGCTTATGATTAGACCAATTCCTTTTTTATTTAGGGCAATCCTGAGCCAAATTCTGTTTTCTGAAAACAAACAAAGGTTCAAAACGATAAAAGAGTTTATAGGCTGAAGAAGGAAAACACCATAGAGGAAGAATAACACTTCAAGGATCAAGCTTTAAATTGAAGATTTAGTTGCGATTAGAAATAAACTTTTCTGTCTTGAGCTCTTGGGGAAGATCAACCTGTTGTCCTTAGAGTAACTTTTATCTGGTAAATTATGTCATGTAACAAGCTCAGTGAAATGGGTTGTGAGGAAGCTGGTCCGTCTCGACATACCTGCGATTCCATTTCTACTGCTAAGATCACTAAGAAATTGGTGAGCAACATAATTGTAGTGTAATTCTTAAATGATTCTTAAATAAATATGACGTTCTCATCTGCAAAACAGGCATAGGAGATGGGTTATCGGCCTACTCCAATGGAGGTCTTCACATACACACATACAAAGAAACATGACGGCATAACATTTATTGATAGGCACGCGGAGCTTATTAGGGTAAGTTCGAATTCTTCATCTATATTTAAGTATTTTGATAGTTCTGCATTATCCAAATTGTTTATGTTGTTCACTTTCAGGATAATTACACAGCTGCTTTAGAGCTCCTGACTACTTCTTAGGCTCAGTCTGGTGAGCAGCCGACCATGGATGAGTTCTAGCTATATCTTGAGGCTGCTGGAGGTGAGAAGAAGAGGAAGGTATACAACATTGATTCACAGACATCTAGAGCCGCTTTGCTAGGACCACAAATAGACCTACATTAGTTCAGACTAATGGTAACAAAGAGGAGATATAGGATCTTCGTACTCGCTTAACAAGCAGCAACATATTGCACAAATGATGGAAATGCATGGTCAAGACTGATCCTTTGCTCCATTAGCTCCTTCTGATCCATTAGCTCCACCACCTCTACTTGATTCTCCACCGCCTTGACATTTTTATGTCTTTACTTGTTTTCTTAGTTTTTTCTTTTTAATGTATGAACTACATATATTAAACGTCATTTTATTATGATATTTTGGATTTCTTATTCATTGCTTGAATCAATATTGTATATGGGTTGTCTCAATATATATACATATGACTTGTATGTTTTTAAGAGATGCAACTTTCCTTTATTTAAATTTTAAAATTTATTTTTAAAAATTTTTGACAATTAACAACCAATTAGAGACGATTTTGCAATAGAACCTGTAATTATTATACACTATTAGCGATAGCTTAACGACGAATTAAACATAGATCAGCAATAGATTAGAGACCACCTGGCGACAAAAAATGACGACTTTTCTTTTCATTATTATTATTATGATTAGCGACAGAAATGGCAGTTGCTATTATCTTAGTGACAAAACTTAGTGTGATAAAATGTGTCTTCCATTGTTAATTAGTTTTTAAATCAGTAGCTATTTTGCGAGTTTTTTTTTTTTTTTTTTTTTTTTTTTTGAAGTTTTTTTTTTTTTTTTTTTTTTTTTTTTTTTTGTTGTTTTTTTTTTTTTTTTTTTTTTTTTTTTTTTGTTAGTGAGCATAAAAAGCATGTCCAATAAAATTATCTACTTTAGTAGTATGCAGTTGTTCGAGTAGCTAGTAGCTAATTAAGTAGTTTTTTATAAAATACTAAAAGCTAAATATTATAAAAAACATTTTATAGAATGCTATATTAATATTTAAAAATTTGATTTCAAGACTATATTATAAAACACTGTAAAAAAATAGAATTCATCATTTTGACTTAGTCAGATTAAGACACTATTTAGAATCTTGGATATAATTTTAAATATCATATCATATCATAAAAGAGTTGAGGAGCTTGAGAAACTATTTAGAATCTTAGATAGTGTCATAAGCCAATTTATCCTTTGCCAACCCAACTTTAACTTTATATTTGTGTTTGTGGTCT